CGGCACGGGGAGGCTCTGAACGCAAAGGGTGCATCTCTCCCTAGCCCAGCAGCATCTGTGGACATGGATGCAAAAGTTTTGTGGTCTTAGGAAATCTGTCACATGGTCTTGAGGCCTATTATTATTCATCCTAAAATAAGAGGGTTGAATTCGTCTCTGGAATTATTAAATTTATCTACTAAGCATTTATCTTTGGTATTACAACATTAATACCTATTTCATTTTAAAACATTGAGAACAGAAATGGAAAAAAATAGTAAGAGTTCCCCATGAAGCCAACCCCCAGAAATCATAATTTATACCTGAGTGCAGGAATTGGCAAACATGTCTTTAAGGGGACAGACAGTGAATGTTTTAACTTTGCAGGCCACATGGTCTCTGCTGTAGCTACCTGCTCTGCCACTATCGCACAAAATCACCCAGAGATGACAGGAGAAATGGGTGTGGCTACATTCCAATAAAACATCTTGGACAATAAAACTTCCCCATATGCCTTGAGCCAGATTTTACCTGTGGGCCATAGTTTGCCTGACCCTAGTTAAGTGTATGGCATTTAACTTTTTTTTTTTTTTCAACTCTCAGTTGTTTTCTAATTATAAAGGTAATGCATTCTCATTATAAAAATTCAGTTACTCTGGCCCTGGCCAGGTGGCTCAGTTGGCTGGAGCGTCATTCCATACACTAAAAGGTCACAGGTTCGATTCCCGGTTAGGGCACATAACCATGTTGCAGGTTTGATCTCCAGTTGGGGAGTGTGCAGAAGGTAACTGATCGATGTTTCTCTCTCACATTGATGTTTCTCTTTCTCTCCCTTCCTCTATTTAAAATCAACTTAAAAAATTTTTTTAATGTAGTCATTCTGGGAAGGTATAAAGTAGAAATGGGTAAAATGGCCCAATAATTAATTTTTCCTATTTTACCCCCAAAGATAATTATTTTCAACATGTAGCATACATATAGACATGTATACATATGTGTGTGACAAGTATCTTCACACACAATAATGTTAATAGAACATGTAATTTTTGCCCTGGCCAGTGGCTCAGTTTATTGGAGCATCATCCCATATACCAAAATGCTGCGATTTCAATTCCCGGTCAGGGTGTGTATTTGAGGCAACCAATCAATGTTTCTCTTCCTCCCTCCCGCCTTCTCTCCCTTCCTCCCTTCCTCTCTCTCTCAAATCAGTAAAAACGTATCCTTGGGTGAGGATTAAAAAAAAAAGAAAAACATGTAATTTTAAATCTGGGAGAGGTTTGTGACATATTTTCCCACAGAAACGACCATGGGTCATGGTGTATTTTTTGGTCACTCGCACTCTATAAATACAAATGAATAAACTATTATAGGCTGGCCTTAACTCTAGTCACCACTTATGATTGTTTTTATGGGAAAATGTGTCTGACAAATGAGCATTTCTAGTTTGAGGCCTCCCGTCATGTGTTTATTTGCCCTCTTTCTCCGCTGGCGTTTCCTCAAATGGGCACTTGGGGTGTGAGCCGTGTCTAAGGTGGAGGGCGGTGCATTCGCCCGATTCACGCTGGGAATGGCTGGGAGCCTGACGAGTCTGTTGATCTTTCCTGTGAGTCTTTCGTTTTGTCTCTGCCAGTTCTTTCTTTTTCTCACCATAGTTCTAATGATTTCTTTGGTTATTAATTTTTCATCTAAATCAGGGGCTCCTTTTTGTTGTTCTGAGTCATCCTTGTGCCAAAGAGAGGGAGCCGTCGGGAAGCCCCGTGTTCCAGCTCATTGCGATCAACCCCAAGACGGCCCTGAGCGTGGGTGTGATGCTCTACTGTCTTCCTCAAGGGCAGGCTGGGAGGCAAGTGTGCGACTGCTGGGCAGTGAGTGTGACCTTTGAAAGGCACCTGTGCACATACAGAAACCAGATGTTTTTGTGTCATTTAGATGAAAGGAAACATGAAACACTATATATAGATCAAGATAAAGAATGTTAAGAAGTATAGTGTTCAGCCTTGGCCGAGTGGCTCAGTTGGTTGGAGTGTCATCCCATACACCAAAAGGTGGCGGGTTCAATTCCCAGTCAGGGCACATACTCAAGTATTGGATTCAGTCCCCAGTCAGGGCGCATGCAGAAGGCAACCGATTGAGGTTTCTCTCTCACATCAGTGTTTCTCTCCTCTACCCCCCACCTCCTCCCTTCCTCTCTCTATAAATCAATTTTTTTAAAAAATGAAGTAGAATGTTGAGTAGATCTGAGTCAAGCCTCAGGTTCCCTGTATACTGATCCCACCAGCATGGCGTTGGATAAGTATTTTATGTGTATTTAAGCCCTGTGTTATCCCATAATGAAAATATTTTAAATACAGAGTAATTAATATTCTCTACAGGAGATTTCTAATTTATGTTCTTTCCATTAAGAAAAGTTTTAAATGTACTTTAGGAAGACATCTTTACTTCAAAATCTGAGCCTCCACCATGTAGGCAGCTAATATTGATCTATAAGTAAATATTTAACTAGGTTTTTTTTAAGGTTTTTTTGTGGAGAGTTTTTTGAGAGAGGGGAAGGGAAAGGGAGAGAAACATTAGCTGGTTGCCTCCTGTACACCCCTCACTGGGGATCAAGCCCATAGCCCAGGCATGTGCCCTAACCAGGAATTAAACCAGCAACCTTTCAGTGCAATGGATGGCACCCAACCAGCTGAGCCACACTGACCAGGGCTAATATTGAACTATTGACTGTGAAAAGATCTGTGTATGGATGGCACTCTGCACGGTGCTGGTGATATGGCAGTGAGACAACACGCATTTTCATTAAGCACTTCCTGAGGGTTAGGACTGTGCTATCAGCTGTTTCATGAAACCTCACAATAATCACCATGTCCCCATTTTATTGCTGAAGTTAAATAATTTGCCCAGAGTTGCACAGCTCTTGCTTTGTTAGAATTCAAAGCCAGGTAGCTGACTGTAGAGCCCCATCTTAAAAAGACAACCTGACTTCTGCCTTATGATTACACTCTTGTGGCAAAGACACCCACCAAATGTGAAAATAGGATGCTCTCACATTGTGACAAGTGCTGTGAAGACAGAAACAGGTCATGTGATACAGTGGGTGGATAGGCAGGGATTAGGTATGACCTTTCTGCAGAAGCAGCAGCCTGAGTAATAACAAAAGCCCAGTCATGCTAAGGACTGGGCTTAGAGCCTGCCAAGGGGAGAGAAAGCAAGTGCGAAGACACTGAGGAGACTGAGTTTGGCCACAGTGAGCTAGGGTGCACGGGGTACAAGATGCATCAAGAGATAGGCGGGGACTGCACAGGTGTTCGTGTCCCGTACTGCAAAGAGAAGCATTCCTATTTCCAGGTATTTTTGTTCTTGTTGCTTTGGGGAGGTTTTGGCCTCTTTAAAATACATATATATAAATATCCTATATAATAAAAGCCAATCGACCGAACAACGGAACAATGGGTCGCTATGGTGCACACTGACCACCGGGGGGCAGACACTCAATGCAGGAGCTGCCCCCAGCCCGCAGGCCCCAGGATAGCCAAGGCAGTTGCCAGCAGGGGCTCCCCGGTCACCCCACTGGTCACCCCGCAGAGGGAGGCAGCAGGGGACAGGGCCAGCGAGCAGGTAGAACCAGGCCGGCCAAGGTGGGTGCCAGCAGGGGTCCCCCAATTGCCCCACCAGTTGCCCTACAGATCCCACAGATCGGGCCTGATAGCCAGCCAGGCCTAGGGACTCTACCTATGCACGAATTTCGTGCACCAGGCCTGTAGTATATAACATGGTTTGAATCGTTTCTTTTCTGCTTCATGTTAGGTTCCTGGAAGGTGATGTGAAGGATCATTTCGCAGCAGCGGTATTGACTTCTGGAACAATTGCCATTTGGGACTTACTTCTCGGTCATTGTACTGCTCTTCTTCCACCCATCTCTGACCAGAACTGGTCTTTCGTTAAATGGTCAGGTACAGATTCTCATTTGCTTGCTGGACAAAAAGACGGAAACATATTTGTATATTTAATAAGGTAGGGTAAGGTAAAAACACGGTGTTCTGGATATATTTGGCCTCCTAGTATTCTTTGGAGTTGTAGCTATAAGGAAAGTATCAGAATGGCATTTAAAGTAATTGTATTCTTTTAGACATTTATTCTGATGGTGATGGCCCTACTGATCTTTAATGTTCATTTATACATTGGGGGAAAGGACTTGAGGTTAATTTTTGTAATTCCTCCATTTGTGCATTTGCTTTTAAAAGTGTACATAAAGCTTCAAATGTTAATAAATATTTATTTTGCATGCTCTCCCTCCTGGGAGCATGCCCACACTTTGCTTGCCCTTTTCTTTCTCAGGAGCTTTTTCTCCCTGAGTTCTAAGGGTCCCCATGAAACTTATAACCAGGGGAACCAGGGCAGCAGTAGCTAGTCCCTGGCTAATCCCTGAACCTGTCTCCAAGGTCTTGACTTTTTGTGCCGGGCCAGCTCAGCCAAGGGTTCGGTGAGCCTGAGGGGGGGCGGCGAAGGATGTAGAAAAGACAGACAAAGAGAATAAGCTGGGTCTAGGTGGATCTCCTATGCCTGGCTAAGGCTACAGAGAGGGACCCAGACTGCAGCACTTGCTGCATTTCCCTCAGCCCATTAGCTACCCAGATAAGATCTAGGGAGTGTCATAAGGTCAAGCCTAATTATGCTAAGACGGCTGTGCCCTCCAAGCTGGGACTTGTTTGTGGCTCTGCCAACAGGTCAGTCCAAGGCTTAACCCTATAGCCGCTCCTTACATCTCACCCTTTTTTAATTTTTAAGCTACCATAATGAAAGTAAAACTTAAACATCAAGAACAAAACTCTGGCTATTAAAACAATGCCAATGCAAAACCCAAACTACAGACATGTTAACATTTTAAAACTTGAACATCAAGAACAAAACAATGCCAGTGCAACACAGCAATGAGAGAGAAATCACACGACAGTAACATTTTCTACTAAATGAAAGTTTCTTTTGCTGATTTACTCAGAGTCCTCGGACTTGGCTGCGCAAGGCTTTGCAGAAGACTGGCAGTTAACCAATGCTAGCATAGCCAGAAACATGATTGAGGGAGTAGCTTCCACATCTTGCTTTTCTACCATCTGCTGGGCCTCAGTTGTTAACTTCTTCAGCTGACCCCATGTTGGCACTTCAGTCCCTTGGTTAGCCTTCCTTTTCTTCTTTTTTCTGCTTTGCTGTCATCGGGGTAACTCTCAGTCTTTTGAACGAAGGGACAAGGAGCTTCTCTGGGTCCTCTGTGGTGACACACATAACTCTCTGGTACCCAAGTTGGCTGCACTGCTCCTTCTGGAAAGATACAAACACAACCTCTGCCCCACATCATTACTAGATCTGGTAAAACTCTTGTCTGGTTTGTGCATCCTTCCATCGGGCTACCCCGGCAGAGACTGTTGCACTGGAGGTCCATTGTCTTTCGGCTGCTGTACAACTCTCTGCATTGTAATTCAAAAAATTTAACACGGGAGGAGGCAGGAAACCAAACGCGAGCAGGAGCTGGGTGGGCACCATGCCTGGGATCTCCACCATTGAGCCAGTGAAACTCGAGATCCAGGTGCTGCAGCCGCAGCCGATGGTGCCGAAGAGAGGGCCGAGCGCCTCCAGCGGGAAGTGGAGGGAGAAAGGCAGGCTCGGGAACAGGCTGAGGCTGAGGTGGTTGAAGAGGAGCTGGACCGTGCTCAGGAGTGCCTGGCCACTGCCCTGCAAAAGCTGGAGGAAGCTGAGAAAGCTGCCAGTGAGAGCGAGAGAGGTATGAAGGTTATTGAAAACCGAGCTTCAAAAGATGAAGAAAAGCTGGAACTCCAGGAAATCCAACTCAAAGAAGCTCAGCACATTGCAGAAGAGGCAGATAGAAAGTATGAAGAAGTGGCTCGTAAGCTGGTGATTATTGAGGGAGACTGGGAACGCACAGAGGAACGAGCTGAGCTGGCAGAGTCCCGTTGCGGAGAGATGGATGAGCAGAGGAGACTGATGGGCCAGAACCTGCAGTGTCTGAGTGCTGCTGAAGAAAAGTATCCTCAAAAAGAAGACAAATATGAGGAAGAGATAAAGATTCTTACTGATAAACTCAAGGAGGCAGAGACCCGTGCTGAGTTTGCTGCGAGATCGGTAGCCAAGCTGGAAAAGACAATTGAGATTTGGAAGATAAACTGAAATGCACCAAAGAGGAACACAAAGAGGTACACAAAGGAGGCTGGACCTGACTCTGCTGGACCTGAATGACATGTAGAGCCACCCGTCCTACCCTGCCGCCGCTCCTTCCTCTGACCCTGACTCCGCCTGAGGCCAGCCTGCTTGAAGCTGACCTTTAACTGAAAGGCTGCTTTCTCCTTTCACTGCCTCCCACCGCTCCACCTGTGTCTTTTTCACCAAATTGTCTCTCCCTCCCCTCAGAGATTTTGATAGGGCTGAGCACCTTTGGGAACAACATTTAAGGGAATGTGAGCACAATGCAGTGTCTTTAAAAGCATGTTGTGATGTGCATATTTTGTAATTGCCTTTTTTGTTGTTGATGTGGCAACCATTTGTAAAACATTCCAAATAATTCCACAGTTCTCAAGCAGCAGTCTAATCCCTTTCTCACTTGTAGAAGGTAATTTTTCAGCTTAATCCGTATTGCCCTCTCCATAGAGGAGGGGAAAAGGTATGGGCCTGCCTTACTGGGATCCACGTAGAGCCCAGAGAACGACTCCACTATGGGGAATCATTGCTTTGTGCAGAGGACTAGCCAAATTGAAAGGGTGGTTCCAGGAGGAGTTAGCCCCCCCCAAAAAAGTGATGTTTAGGTTTCAGCTTTTAAGGCATCTTTAGGCAATTCATTTTTTTCATCAGAAGTGACCAAATTAAAATGGGGAGACCTCTCCGTCAGAGACCAAATTCTTGTCCCATCTCTGCCCTTTCCCCAATGGTTCACAAAATGGATCATGTGCCCCTTATGTTGAAGTGACCAGTTACTTGCTCTCCTGCCTCCTTGAAAGAAAGAAAATTATGTTTTTGCCACTGATTTGGCCAAATGAAACTCATCTCATTACCCTCCTCTGGGTCTGAAGCTGCCATCTCTAAAAGTGCCGTCTCATTGTGCTTTGTACCAGTTAGTGCTGGAGAAATCTTGAATAGTTTATGTACAAAACTTTAAAAATTTTGTATTACTTTGAAACTTTGCTTCTTTGGGGTTGGGACACACTGGCCACCCCGTCTGGCTGTGAGAGCTCGCTACAGTCTGGGCTGGCAGTGTGCTGATCTTTAAGTTTCTTTCCCTACCTAATGCCCCGTTTTTAGTGAGGTCTGTTAGGTGCGCATCCTGCAGCTTATTGGCTTAAAATGTCCTCTCCTTTGGTGTGGAACCTGTGGCCTTGTTTTTAGGCCAGGAGAAACTGGCATGAGGAGAGAAGAACGAAAGTGAGAAAGAAGATGTCGGGGAGAAGAGATAACTGAGGTACATGGTCCCAAGGGAACAGAAGGGGCTGAGACAATATGCAAATGGGCTGGAAGGAGGGAGGGATAACTGCGGGGGGTGGGTGACGTGTGCAGGAAGTTGACATAGTTTATGCTTCTATCTCCTTTGATGGGAGCGCCACCGAGAAGCACCAGTGTCCCCTCTTAAATCTTCCCAGCTGTAAGGACTTGATCTCCATCTTAATATTGAACCTTTTACCCACAGATCATGTAGGCTGACATTTTCTCTTTGCTGAAGGGGGAGTAGCTCTCCCAAAATACATCATTTAAATAAGAGGTGATTTATTGTTTGACCGAAGGATTCGATGGAACACAAATATAAATGGGTCATGGGAAGAGAGGGTCTCAACTGAGTAAGCCATCAGGCTCTCCCCGAGTTTTCCTCGTGTTAATGCTACACGTCACCATCACGGGTCTGGCCCATGGGTCTGGCCCAAAGTGTGACCTGGAAGGCATGATCCGAGGCTGGTGTGTCGCTGGTGATTTGCACAGACCTTATGGGCCCTGGTCCTTGGTCTCCATGCTGGTTTTTGGTGCCAATCAGTTTTCTGCAGAAATGGGAGGCTGCCACTCAAAATGGAGCTTGCCATTTAGTCACTGACCATTCCAAAGGGGTGTTACAATTGCTCTTCCAATTGCATAACAAGCAGTGGGATGGAGGTGATTGAGTCAGGGTGCAGGAGAAGCCTGGCATCGATTGCTAGCACTGCCATAGAACTCTGATTGGCATCACCAACAGCATGATGGTTCCTGAGGTGGTTTTCCTCCTGATTGGTTCAATCAAATATACCTCCTAAGAAAGGCCTTCAGGGACCACCTACCTAAAGTCACACACCTCCTGTACTCCCTCACTATTGTTCTTCCTTGTATTTATCACAGCTTCCTGGAGTTGTTTATTTGCGGGGGGGGGGGGGGGGGGAAATTTTATTTGTTTGTTGGCCCTCTTCCCCCTGGAAAGGAAACTCTATGGGAAAAAACTGGCTGTCTGGGTTGGTCCGGGGTGTAACCCCCCCAACTAGGACATCGCAGGGATTCCGTTTTTTAGTGAACACATAAATAGAAATATTTTACAACAGTGGGATCATATTATGCATTCTTTTTTATATATTTTGACTGATTTTTAGGAAGAGAGGAAGGGAGAGGGAGAGAGAGAAACATCGATGTGGGAGTGTATCATTGATCAGCCGGGCCAGTGTAGCTCAGCAATTGAGTGTCAACCTATGAACCAAAAGTTCACTGGTTCAATTGCTGGTTAGGGCACATGCCCAGGTTTCAGGTTCAACCCCCAGTAGGGGATGTGCAGGAGGCGGCCGATCAATGTATCTCTGTCATTGATGTTTCTCTCTCTCTCTCTCTATCCCTCTTGCTTCCTCTCTCTATATATAATCAATAAACATATATTTTAAAAAATTGATCAGCTGCCTCCTATACATCCCTATCAGGGATTGAGTCTTCAACCTGGGCATGTGCCCTGACAGGAATTTGGTCCATGGGACAGTTCCCAACCAACTGAGCCACCTGGCCAGGATTCCCGGGTTTTTTTTTAATCCTTAGCCAAGGACATGCTTAGAGAGAGGAAGAGAGAGAGAGAGAGAGAAAGAGAGAGAGAGAAAGAGAAAGAAATACATCAATCAGTTGCCTCCCGCAGGTGCCCTGACCAGGGATCCAACCCAAAACCCTGGTATGTGCCCTGATGGGAATCAACTTTCTGGTGTATGGGACCACACTCCAACCAACTGAGCCACCCTGGGCAAGGCTATTTTACTTAAATTTAATAAAAATAAAAGAAACATGTAAAATTGAAAGCATTGTTAGATTGTTCGTCCAGGCA